CAGCTTATGTCCAGAAAACTAACCTCTGCGGAACCCCATTCTCAGGCTGAGCTTCCAGAGATTCCCAGGAAATCCTTATTTGATTCTGCGCACTCTAAATGCCAGTGGGAAGTCAATGTATCTGGTCCTCCTTGGGAGGAGTGTGTGTGTGTCCCAGCTGTGCTGGCTTCTGGAAATCTCCAGTTTGCCCAGTGGCATCAGGATGCCCGCCTGGACCACTGCATGTCTAGCATGCATCACCGTGCTAGCCACACACTCCTGTCTCTGACAGGCACCAGGCATCAGCTCAACTTAAAGTTCTTCTGTGAGAGTTGGATCCAGCAGCAACACAGTTTGCAACACACTGAATGCCTGTCACTTCCCCTGACAGTCAGGCTTCATTTAGCTGAAGGATTTTTATGGTGGGAATGTTATCTCGGATGTCGGTATCACACTCATCACCATCAATCGAATGGCAAGAAATGGACCCACAGACTCTGTCGGTTTCCTCCTGGCTGATGCGGCTCAGAAGTGCAACCATGAGCCATGAGGCTGAGTCACTGAGCAGTAGAGAGAATGCACGCCAGTCTCCAGCCACACTTAGAACTTTCAAGAGACAAAGAGCCTTATCGGTGAGCCACTTTGGTCCTTGCCCCCTTGAGTTGGTTGGTGCTGGGAGTCGTGACCGGGCCAACAAGACACCTGTCACCCTTATGAGGGCACAGTGCCTGTGTCCTATGAGACCTGAGAGAGACAGAGGCCTGCATCTGGCCTGTGCAGTTAGTAAGGTCCATACTCAAGCAGAGCCATATACATAGGACCCAGAAGAGGATCACTCAGCCCAGTCAGGGGGTTTGGGGAGGACTCTGGAGAGATGATGCTGGAACTGAATCTTGCATCATAAGTAAGAGCAAGCAGGTTAAAGAAGGGAAGAGCGTTCTGGCAGAGGGAACAGCGTGGCAAAAGCAAAGAGGCCAGAGAAGGAGTGAATGGCAGTGATGGGAGGGGGTTCCCGAGGGTGGGGGCCACGTGGCCACTGGGGACCTTGGGCATTATTCTCAGCATCACAGGAAGCTGCAGAAGTGACTCGGCTGGGAAGAGCTTAAACTTGATCCCATAGGCTCTAGTACAGGTTGAAGATGTTTGAACAAGTAAATCCGAGGCTTAAAGTTGGAATCAAGACTAGGGAAACATCTTGGAGTTACGAGCATATTGGTGAACGGTTACTTCACAAATATTTTAAGGTCAATGGATGTTGGGCATGGACTCATGCCAGCTTGGGAAAAAGAATTGTTATTTACAAATTAGGTCTCTTTGGTACCCTACTGGGCAAATGTATCAAGAAGCACATTTGTTTCTCTTTCCTGGAATTGTTTTTCAAATATCTCTGTCTTTTCACAAACTGAAGAATGTTCTCCGACTCTGTCTGAGTCTGTGTTGACAGAATCTGTGGTGAAGATGGGATTTTGTCATTTTCTAATCCATCAAGGTCATCCAAGATCAGAGTTCAGAAAACACATTAGAGAAGGATCTGGAAGTATCCTTGTTACATAATACACAATCAAGAAATATTATTTTTTAAACCTCCAAAGTGACCCTGCAGTGAATTCACATAAAAAGGGAGCATTATGACCCTCCCTGGTGGCGCAGCGGGTTAAGGCACTGCACTGAGAAGCTAAAGCCACTTCAGCATGAGTTCGATCCCCGCCTGCCCCGGAGGTGGCCACATGGCGCGGCAGACCTCTCCTGGCCCGCCCGCTGCTCCCCTCAGCAGTGTACTACTTTGATCTGCCTGTTCTGCTCCCCACTCTGTCTCTGGTGAAGCCTCTCACCGCCCCTGAGCCTCTGACCTGTACCCCAGTTCTGTATGTATGTACAAGTAAAATAAAATCTTTTTTTTTTTTAAAAAAAAAAAAAAAGGAGCATTATAACCTGGCTATAAGCATCTCGTTCAGAAGCTTAACTTTATGCTTTGCAGGGCTCCTAAAGCCCAACTATTGAAATTTGTCAGCAATAAGGAAGTTTTCGTCCAGTACATGGGTACTGGCCAGATGCTTTACCGTCTGTGGCTATTGGCTGGACTATGATGGAAAAAAACAGAAGCAGGGGGTTGAGGGATTTTGTCTTTAAGGACCTGCCTTATGATAGAGCCTAGAGGAAATCCTTGAAAAGGAAGAAAATCCTTAAGAAAAAGACTCATACTATCAGGTAGTAGCTTCTCCCACTTGTGGGGAGCAAATATGGCTTAAGATACAGCTGCTGTCTCGAGGTTTAATAGCTCTCCTTAGTGTCCTGCCTTTTTCATGTCATTTGATAATGAAAGAGGAGTCTAGGCTCATCTGAGAGAGGATCAGCCCCCCAAATGGAGACACGCATAGTTGATCATCTGTCCATCAACCCCCATCTCCTTGGCTTGTGGAACCCCAGTTATGTTCTGGGTGGCAAGTGCCAGCCCTCCCCCTTTGCTGGGCTACTTTACTAGCCAGTTTCTCAGACTTCCTTGCTGCCCCAGGTGAAAATGGGACATAGTTCTGGCCAGTGGGACAGAAGAGGAGGTCTGCTGAAGGGGCTGGGGTGAGTGGGAGTGTTTCAGGGAAAGATCTTGCTTTCTCAATAGAGAGGCCAGCCTTGGACTCGGCATATGGACACTTGAAGGCATGATGGGCCGGCAGCCCCCAAAATAGGTCATGACAGGCAGAAGGCCCTGCGGGTCTGGCCTGCAAGCGTGTCCCATGTTGGTTCAGGAGCGTGATGCGAGGGTCTGCTGGCCTAGTACAGCCCTGGCGTCAGCCCCTGCACTTGGAAGACCTTTGACTAGCTCAATTCCTACTGCTTGTGTTTTGAAGGCTGGTGAATGAGAGTTGACATAAATCCACAGGGGGGTCGCTCTTGTCCCCCACAAGAGCTTGTATCTGATTGTCCTCACATGCCAGCTGCAAGAGAATTGGGGGTTGGGGAGGGACACGGAATGAATGTATTGCCCTTCATGACAGTCTTCGCCACAGAAGATAAAAAGGAGAGTATCAAATTCTATCGAATTCTATCTGTTGGCGCATTTAATCCCTTCAGCTTGGCTAAAGTGCTGAGAGCCGCTCTTTGCTCCCAGCAGCCCTTACCACCACCGCCCCCCCCCCCAAAAAAGGTGGGTTACAGTGTCCCTAGTTTATATTCTGATTTATTTGTTTGTCTGATTTTTTGTTTTTCCTATTTCTTTCTAAAAAGGATTGAAGTCAGCTTCACCTTGAGAACATAAATGAGTTCTAACTCATTCCCCTCTTGTTTTCCTTTGCTTCTTGATGTTTATATACAGAGACAGTTTACGTTTTTCAAGCTCAGCCTTTTTTGGTAATTTTTTTCTCTGTTCCACAATGACAGAGTTGAGTAATTATGACAGTGGGGCCTGCGAAGCCAGAAATATTTCCTGTACTTTATAGAAAAAGTTTGCTAGGCCATAGCCCAAAATATTTTTACAAAATGACCTGACCTAAGCGAGTCCATGCTGGATGGTACTGTGTGGGGTGTAGCTGGAATGTGTGTTGATTCTTCCCTAGATCTGCGACATCCGATTCTGTCTGTGCTAGGTCCACTGGCCACTACCAGCTGCGGTGGCCTCTCTTTTCGCCAGTCAGCTCCAGAGGAGCTCAGTTCTGTCCCTTGATTCCTGGGCCCTTACCCAGCAGACAAGTAAGGAAGTCTTCACTTTTCTCCAGTGTTTGAAAGTATGGAAGTCTTGGCTAAAAGTTGGGAGGTGGAGGGGTGAAGGAGATAAAGTAGGCAGCTTGCTGTTGAGGACTAGACAGAAAATCTTCCCAAAACTTGCAACTGTCCTGTTTCTCTGCTTTTAAATTGAGCATTAAGGATAAATCAGAGCTAAGCCCATAGAGAGGGAATTTGAACACTTGGTTACACTATGAGAAGGATGGATTTCTTTGAGAACAAAGTAGAGGCATCTGTTTTGTTTAAATTAAAGGTCTGTAAATACCAGCCAGGGATTGGTTTGACAGCCACTTCTGTAATATACTAATAAATCATGGGGATGGTTAAGGAAACAAGAAACACCACATTCTTGCTTTGTTCAACCAATTAAGCAATAAGCCATCTGGGTCCTTTTGTTAATTACTGTCAAACACAACTTATACAATTGAATTCAGCCTTTTATTTAATTATATTAATTTATTCCAGCAACTTCAAATACCCATAATGCCAATAAGAAAGTTCATTTAAAAAAAAAACTTGTATAATTTTTATTTTTTTAAATTTTTCAACCATTGATTAAGTTCTACAAGGTTTCCATCTGAGAATTTTTTAGTTTCATCTCAACCTCAGGATGTTAGGGGAGTGTGTTTTAAATATAGACAAGTCTGAAAGAAGAAGATGGCTAAGATCTCCTCTCTGAAGAATGATGTCTATCTACATCAGCTCTGTCAAACAGAACTGTTTGCAGTGATGGAATTTTCTCTGTGTTCTCAGTTCAGTAGCCACTGAGAACTTGAAATATGGCCAGTGCAAATGAGGGGCTGAATTTTAAAATGTATTTAATTTTAACGAATTTACATTTCAGTAGCCACCGGTGGTCAATGGCCACCATGTTAGAGTAAGGCTAGAGTGAATTCTGAGGAAGGGGCATGTGTGCATGTATGAGGCAATTGTCATGCAGTGGAATGCATAGTGATGATGGGTGGCCTTGGGAACCCACTTCCAACCTGCTTTTTCTCAGTTGAAACACACTGTGTTCTGGGACAGCATCTTTGAGGAGAGATTATCTAAGCAGACTCGTGGAGAGTGAATTCATTCTGGAGCAGAAATGGGCACTCAGCAGCTCCCATGGTTGGACTGGGCAGGTGGGTCACAGCCAGCAGAGGGAGCTCTTGGCTAGCCTTGACTCTGCGCTTGGGGGTTTCCAGAGTTGGAAATGTTCAATCTGTGGGCACATTTGGGGGTACTGGATAGATCCTCTGGGCTCAGAGATGGCCCTGTCAGCACTCACAGACATTAACACCAACTTTGCTTCTTCTCATAAGAATTTTGGTTCGATTTCCCCTCGGAGGTTTGCCTTTGTGAAAAGGTTGCTATTTCTGATCTAGTCAATGCAGACACTTGTTAACAGGGCTTCGAGAGAGTTTCTCGATTGTCTACGTTTTTTCATGGGAAGGTTAAGTCTGAGCACACCCTTCCAACACCAAAAACCAAAGAGAAATATATTACATCAAAATCTGGTTATGTTTAACCAAGCTAGAGAAGGGGTAGGGCAGGGTGAATGGAGGTAGAAAGTTCTGAGGAAATTCTCATGAACATGAAAATGTCTCATTCCAGATCTGTTGACTCTTCCAGCTGCAAGGCTGAGCAGCAGAATTGGGCCAGTGTTCAATTCTATCTTCTCTTTAACCACAGTCCTCTTTCAGTAGCTTTCTTTCCTTCTTCTGAGATATAACTCAACCAGTCAATATGATATTTGCCCTAATAAGCCTAAGCCAATATTTCTGGAATGTCAGGTCTTTAAGACCCTCTTTATAGCTTAGTCTTCACGGTTGGTTGCAGATAATTCAAAGTAGGGCCATTTGAAATACTTGGATTGCTTAGATCCATGTATCCTGGAGGTGCTACCAGAGAAAGCCCAGGCCTCATTCCTTAGTCAGGTAAGAAGCAATTACTACATGCTCACTGGAGGAAACAGAAAAAAACAAAGAATCTTCTATACTATTTCATCACTTGTTAATGATGAAAACAACAAGCCAGTGAATCCATCTTTTTTCCATTTTCCATTTTAAAAACAGCCAGCAGTCAGCAAAATAAGTTGTTGAAAGGAAAAACTGTCTGTATTTGCTCATGGAGCTTTCTTCTTTACTATGACCAGAAACACAAACACAAAAGGGTCTGTTTGCTTAGTGGAATATTCATGCTCTTTTAGTTCCCTTGGGATGCAACGGTGGTGCCCAAATCCACTTTTTCTTCTGATAAGACTGCAGTCATCGCTCATCCACAGTGTTGACTTGGTCAAATTGCCATAGCTGGCTAGCTTTTCCATCACACGGGCGCAAATACAAATCTTTATTGTTTTCCTGCACAATAGCTTCCATGCATTTCCCAGAAATAATGTGGACAATCATTCCATTCTGAAAAGAGAGAAGAAAATGGGAGTGGGGTAGGATGGAAGAAGTCAATTCCATGTAGTGAGTCAACAAAAAAGGATACCCCAAGATTTGTGCTAATTATTAAGAAAATAATAGGGTGATGTGAAATGGTAAGAAACTAGTGTTTTGACTAATACAGTAAAAGGAATTTAGGTAGTCCAGAAGTTTAAGTATCATTCAGAACCTTGAGGGTATTAATCCAGTGATCCTTTATTATAGATATGTAATTGTGCCATTTCTGGCTGGTAGAATGCCAGTGTACAGAATACATTCCATCTTTTACTATATTGGTGACATTCATTGTTCTCACTGGTATAAGTTTCTGCTTTCAAAGGAATTTAACTTAATCTCTGCCCTCCATTAAACCTGCAATTTAGTAATGCTGCCGCTAGATTGCAATAGAGAGTCAAACCTCAAGGATTCAGAGAAGGCCAAAGTCAGACAAGTTTGCACAACTAGAGCTGCTTCCTACTCAAAATCCACCACTTAGTATAGTGTCAAAACCTAACAGGTTAATATTGAATTTAGCCATCTGCTCCTAAAGAAACATTTGATTTCTTTATGTCAAGACAGACAATCTTATTTATATCTGTTTCTGAATCTCCATTGGTGGTGGAGGGGTCTTCATATTGCTCCTAAAACTCCAGACCAATGTGGTCAACTGCTTTGTAACAAGTTCCCTGGTGCTACTTGTAACCTGAGCTAATAAACTTCAGAACGAGACTTTCTCCTCTGCCACCATCAAGGTAAGAGCTTTTCGGAGAAGTGCCAAATACTACATTTCAAGAAGTCAGTGACCCCATTTTGCTGCTGATCTGCTTGCAACCACTCCCTGAGGCCTTCGTGCTGAGCTGCTTGGTTCAATAGCAGGCTCAGGACCGGCTGACTTCACTTAGTGCCGTGTGCTTGGAATGTGCTTGCACGATGTGTTTGACCTCTTGGAAGAGCCTAGGAGGCATCACCAAACACTTACCCCCAGAAAGTCCCAGTGCTGCTGATGGACGGCGGGGCCTTCCTTGGTGCAGTTCTGAAGAATCACCTGCTCTTGTTGGACATCGAAGCACAGGCCCTGTGTGCCACCAAAGTGGATCTGCTTCCTGCCAGCATGCTCCAGGTGCTGCAACAGAGGAAGACGTTCTGAACGAGGCCAGGGCCCCGTAACTAGAGCCAATGACTGTCTGTGTGTGAGCCATCCTCTAGCAAATGGAGCAGATGTCATCTGAGGCCATCAGGCCTGTCTACACCAAATTCAGCCTGTCTCCCCACTACACACACACATGGACTCACAAAGAGACAGATACACATTAGACATACATACATGCACAGACACACATAGACACAGATATACACAGACACAGGTTTGGGGAACAATGCCAGTGGGGTGCCATTGCCTCCTCAGTGCTTCTGTGCCTGCAGCCCCCACTTGAGGAACCTATGTTCCCCATCTCTTGTTCTAATGACTAATGACCTCCAGCTGGTCCAGATGCTTCAAAATGGTGTCTGAACAGATTTTCTTTGACCTCTGAATATAGTCTTTCCATTTAAACAGGGAGCTTTTCCATACATTTTGAATTTCCAGGGTTTCTTAAAAAATTTTTGGATGGTCTAATACAAAATCTTCTACCAGAGAAAATATGATTGAGGTGGGGGTGCAGTTGCCCTTTGAGATGGGGCATCAGCTTCTCCGTCACAGCTGCTCCCTCCTGGGGCTCATTTCCCTCATCTGCCTGATCCCGTAGACGTCTGAGTTGCACCCCTGGGCTAGCTACTGTCTAGCCTCATTTTCCCCACCTGTCAGATGAAAGCATTGGTCTCACAGCCTTGCCATTTCCCTGGCTCTAAGACACATGTTCCCTGCCAGTGGTCTGGGTCTGTGCCTGTCGTGGGGCGGGGAGGGCCGAGCAGGGGGGTCACCCAGTGGGGATCTCTGACAGTCAAGGGACGGGGGGGGGGTCACTAAAGGGAGATGCCCCCAGAGGGACGCGGCCCTGGGAAGGCCCCGATAACTCTGACCACCTACCTGTTGCCACCGGCTGTCACTACAGGGAGCCAGCTCCATGGCGCAGCCCAGAGGGGCCCCATCCGCCCGGCAGTCAGCGCAGAAGCCCAGTCCAGTGTTGTGGAGCTGAAAGTGGAGATGCACACAGGACTGAGACCCACCCTCCACCCTGGGGCTCCCTCTGCTAGGTCCTGGTCCTCTCCTTTCCTCTCTAGAGTGGCCCCAGGTTCAGGCTTGCAAGATGAGTGCCGCAGTCAAGCTGAATCCAGTGGCCCTGAGGAACCCCCTCCCCTCCCCACCCCACTCCACCCCACCCCACCGCACCCCACCCAGAAGCAGGTCCTGCTCATCCTGGTCTTGTCAACACAGCGCCTCCCTCAAAGCGAACACGGAAGCCTCTGAGGCCCGGCTGAGCTTGGGCCAGATGGTCAAGGTCATGGAAGAACATCCAAACCTAGAGTGCCCATCTTGGGGCGCTGTCCACCCCACCGCCGCCTCCCTGGGCCACGCCTTGCCTTTCCAGAGAACCTGGGCCTGCGTTCAGACGGGTACAGCTCAGGGTAGACGTTGGCCAGAAACCAGTGGAATGTCCGGCAGCCCAGTCTCCTCTGCAGCTGCCGGCGCTCTGTGCAGTCTGGCTGCGCGGCCTGGGGAAGAAGACACACGTGAGCTGGAGCAAGGCTGCTTGGCAGCAGGCTCCTCGCACCTGTGGCCTTGGGGACTAAGGCCACTGGAGCTGAAGGATCAGGACAGAATAAGGGGACCACAGTGCTTAGGCTACTGAGGAGGGCCTGGGAGGAGAGGAAGTCACGTGTTGGGCGAAGAGGGCTGGAGCAGAGCCCTGTGGACCCGGCAGCGTGACAGACGTCACTCCCTTCCCAGAGACCCCATTCGGCCTCTGAAGACCACACTATCTGTGCCCCGGTGACTTTCATACTGAAGTCAGCAAGATGGGACCGTGCAAGCAGGTGGGACCAGTTCTAGTTATATCCTCACTTTTCTTTAGCAACTCGCTCTCTCACGGGGCCTCAGTTTTCCATTTAATAGAATAGAAGGTTTGGATGAACACAGCACTTAAAATGTTTCCCCATCAGCAGCTGGACGAGTGAACAGACTTCGTAAAAGCAAACCAGTCGGGCCCATAAGCAGCCAGCAAGGCCACCACTGCCCAGTTCTGCAGTGACCTGGAGCCCAGAGGCCGGGCACAGGCACCAGAGCCGCGCAGACAATGGCGGCGAGAAGCCTGAAACTCCGTAAATTATTCACACGTTGCTGCGCTCAGGCTGACTCTTCTCTGAGAGTTCCTTTAAATGCCGCCTCCACAAGCAAAGAGCAAATTCTAAAGTCACAACCCGAGAGAGAGAGATGTGTTGGCCAAAAGAAAGCCCAGAGATTGAAAATGCGTCGCCTGAATTCTAGACCTTCCACCGCTGAATGGATTGAGTCTGAACGCTGAGCCTAGCCCTCAAGGGCTGCCCAGACCCTCCTCTGCTTGTGTGAGCGGCGCCCACGTGGCCACAGGACAGGCAAACACCCCGTGTGGAAGGGAGTGGTGATGGTGAGCTCCCGCCAGGGCTCTTTCTGCGCCACGTGCTCCTCCGTGAGCTTCGGGTAGAGCCGCTGGTGCACGGAGCCAGCCCGGCAGGAAAGCTTATCACCTGTGGACGGAGACGCCGACTCCCGAGGGGCTTTCACGGTCATGCAGCAGCAAGCCGGCAGGGAAGCCCACAGTCTTGTTCTGGGAGTCCACAGCTCCCCTGTGAGACCCTCCAGCTTCCAGAAGGGTGTCTGGAGTTGACCACGTCCGTCCACCTCCCGGACGCACAAGGAGACTGAAGAGCAGAGGTGGCCGCTGTGTTAGGCGGCGCTCTGGTGAGAACTTCCATTTCAGAGCCCTCCTTGGAGCGGGAGGGAGGCCGGAGGGAGGCCGCCATTACTCCCGGCTGGGGAAGGGAGTCAGCACCGCCCTGTGCCTTGAGCTAGGGCCTGGGGCTTGTTCAGACCTCAGGATTTCCCTGCGCAATGCTGAGGCTCTGTGGGGCTTGTTCCCGGAGCCCCAGCCTCGAAGGAGCTGGGGGTGAGTCATCTAGGTTCTGAGACCTCATCCAAGCTGGTAGAGTTTCTGGAAAGTTGACTGGAAAATCAAGAAGCAGGTGGCAAATCCCAGAGGACTGGGGGTTGGGAGGTGGGAAGGAAGACACACTGGGGTTCCTCCACTGGGAATTCCTGCCTCAGGGAACTGCCCCTTATGGCACAGAGGGGGCTTGGTTAAGAGGCCCAGTCCTGCGGTGAGACCACTCCCGCCAGCAGCTGGCTGGTCAGGGGTTGCGACTGTCGTGGGCCCTGACACCTGGCCTCTGGGCCCCCTTCCCAGCACCCTACACATTAGCCTGCACCCTTGACTCACCGGATATAACAAGTACGTTCTGCTCTATAAGCACTGAGCTGAGTATCAGCTGATCTGTTGAAAAGCCACTCTGAGGACATTTGATGAGCTGTTTTAAATTTTCATTTCCCCGAGGCTTTTTTGGGATCCTTCATGTTTATTTTTATAGCTGTATTTGTCTCATGTCTTAGGTCATTTCACAGCCTGGAGCACTTGACCTGGGTTGAAAGGACTTGGAGACCGGCAATGCCCACCCCACAACGAAGGATCACATCCAGAGATGTCACCCCACAGACATCCGGGGGTCCCAGGCCTAGGCTGGACATGTGTCTGTGGAGCCTGCCAGGTAGAGGAGCCATTGAGGGGGAAACTCACAGGACACTGGAGCTGGAGGCCCCTCCAGCTGGTGGCCCTTGGAGGGGGGGAGTGGGGGTCAAAGGCCACGGGCTGGCCCCTTACCTTGCTCAGGGAGAAGGCCTCCGGGCTGTGCCTGTAGAAGGTGTCCTTGAAGGAGCCCAGCCAGGTCTCGGCAAGGCGAACCTTGTTCCGCAGGGCGGCCTCCTGGTCAGGGCTGGAGGGGGCGTCCTGGCTGCGGTAGAGGTGCCCCACCCGCGAGCAGGGGAGGATTTCCACAGAGCCTCCGCAGAGCCAGGCCTGCCGAGAGAGGAGACAGGGAGCACCTCTGGGAGTGCAGGCTTCCAGCGAGGCCCCGGAGGTGGAGGTGCGTGCTGGGGAAGTGAGCACAGCAGGGTGAAGTAGTCCCCAGGGTGAAGTAGAGGTCCAGGGCTGGGGTTCTGGGCAGGGGAGTGGCAGGTGGGGAGAAGATGGCCAGTGTGCTGGGATAGAAGTGGGAGGGTGAGGGGGTCACTCCATGCATACTCCAGTGTGCCCCCCAACACACACACAGGTTTAGCACGTCTAGAACTGTGGCCCTGTAGGGCAACACCCCTATGTCTTTAAGCAGCAGCACCCTTGGGGGAATGGTGGTCCTCAGGGGGGGAGTGGGGACGGGTCAGAGAATTTCTAGAAGTTCAAGAATTCTGCTGTTCCTATGCCTCCCTGCTGTTGCTGCAGGAGGGCCCTCCTGGCCTCCCCGAACTCGTCCACCTCCTTCCGAATGCCCGAAATTCATCTCCCAGGAGCCCTTTCACTCTGCCCTTAAGGGATAAAGATGAAACGGTGATGGGAAACACACTGACACTGAGGTTCCCAAAGAGTGTGCCAGGGTTCCCCAGGGGCCCTGATCATTTAAATGTTCAAGAGAAACCATGACACCTTGCAAACTGCATGCTCAGGGGAACTGATGGTTTCAACATGTGATCCCTGTATGTCTGGTGATAGACGTTGCTGTGGGATTGGGTTTTCCGAGGTGGTTGTGATGCCAAGGCAAGTGTCACAGTAAAACCAACAGGCAGTGAGGGTGGTGATGTCTGAGGACTTCAGTTTGAGAGGTTCTGTGCTGCGCAATCACTGCTGTGTGTGTTTGGCTCAAACCAGCCAGGACACAGAACCATTTAGTCTTGGTTTTGGCCAGGGGAGCTGTAAAAATGACTGAGATGCTAAGGGTGCTGTGAACTGAGAATGTACCAGAACCTCTGCTCTTAGTTTCTGGGGATGGGCATCCTGCCTTGTCCTATACATCGGGTAGTGAAGCCCCAGAGGAAGGCTGGGGGTGAAATCAAGGTGCGCCCCAAGGAAGGGGAAGAAAAGGGCTGGGAGAGCTGCACCCCTCTTGTTATCATCTGAGTCCTGAAGCACTGGCTGCCCCAGAGCTGCAGAGCCCACTGGGTCCCCCTGTGGTCCAGGACATACCTTGAGAGACAGCTCCAGGTTTTCTGCACCCTGGAGTGACATAAGGGGGTCATACGCGCCCGTGTTTTGGAAGTAATGCCGGTCAATGGCCACTGTCCCACCAGGCACCACGGGGCTCCTGGAGAGAGAAGACACTTCAGGGCCAGCCTATAGGGGAAGTGCTTTTTGGGGGGTGAGGCATGTGGGAAGAGTATTGTTACCTCCAATTTAGTAATGAGGAAACTGAGATACAGATTATTCAACCTGTTAGGAAACCAATGGAGCCAGCAGGCAGCCTGGATTGTCCATGGGGTATTCAGAAAAAGCAAAGGAAAAGCTGGTTTTGTGATGGGGTCTCACCGGATGGGGCTGGTGGGGGACTGCCGGGCTTTCCTCTCAGTCTCTGGCAAAGGCTCCCAGCGGAAGTCCAACTTCCAGTCCAACACCCCACGCTGCAGGTCCGTGGTGGGGTCGTACCGGAACGTCTTCCAGTCAATCACATCAATGACTGGAGACACCACCCGGCTCCTGGAGAGAATTGTGCAGTCAACAAGGGACACCCACCATCCACCTGTTGGGGGTAGAGACGAAATCCATACAAGCCTGCCCAGTATGGCAGCCTCCTGTGGTTATCAGCTCCCACGGTAGGGTCTTCTGAACTGGGGTAAGTGAGTAGAAAACAAGCTGAATTTAGAAGGCTCAGATGAGGGCCTCCCTGGTGGTGCAAGGGCTTAAAGCTCAGCACTACAAAGCTAGCTGCAATTATTGCAGCATGAGTTCGATCCCCTACCAGGGAGCTGACCTACATGACACGGCAGGCCTCTCCTGTCTCGCCCGCTGCTCCCCTCAGCAGTGTGGATTTCAGTACATTTGCCTATTCTGCATCCCACTCTGTCTCTGGTGAATCCACTCACCCCCTGCACCTCTGGCCTGTGCACCATTCTTACATATGTAAGAAAATAAAGCCTCAAAAAAAAAGAAGTTTAGATGACAAAAAGAAAAATCGCAGTTATTTTTATATTAATTACTGGTCAACATGAAAATATCTTGGACCTACGGGGGTGAGGGGGGTGTTGCTAAAACATTATTAAAATTAATTTTATCTTTAAAAATTGTAATGTACCCATTTCAGGGGGGTCTCCACCTTGCCGTATCATTCAGGTCTTGTTCCTCCCTGCTTCGTGAAATGTGACTGGCTTGACAAATCAGAACTGTCAAGCCCCGGAAGTGTCCCTGTTTTGTGCGGCTGGTGCCGACCAGCCTGCCCTGTGTTGGTGCAGCTGGGATGTGGCCTCGGAGACAGTTTTAGGAAATCTGTTCACTAAGCAGATGACCACACAATGTCGCTGCTCTCCCCTTAGCTGTTTCTGACCTGTCATGACTATTCTAAAATCGGGGCCATGGAATGGATCAGGCCTGAACTCAGGGTGGCAGGAAGGTCCCCAAGAAGGGTGGGTCCTGGGGGGGAGCTGTGTTTCCACTCCCTTCCATTTCCGCCTCTGTTTCATCCATCTCGGGGGCAGTTGGGGCTGGCACAGGGCCAGGCTGCATGGAGAGGGCCAGCCTGCCCCTGGGATTCAATTATCTGCTCTAATCTGTGACCTTAAGTGACTGCTGTTGGCAGGAGAAATCCTGGGTTTATATTTAGAGCAAGGATCTTGATAGACTTTTCCTGCCCTTTTCACCTCATTGCCTCTGGAAGGAAAGGGGAAAAACAAGTCCTGGACTTCATAGTTTGGGACATGGTGTACTGACCTTTTCGGGAAAATAAAAGTGAGGAGGAAAGGAGGGCACCTACTCCCTCACCCAGGTCTCCGCCCGCTGTGGAATGAACTGAGCAGATGGCATGGAATTGGCTGCAGGAAAAGCATTTTGTGGAATTTCATAATCAGCAGCCAGGAAGCCAGGTGGCTGCATTCTGAAGAATCCCATCAAGGGTGTGTCATGTTAGCAGTCACAGCCGGCACTGAGGGTATTGTGCTCAGCACCCACACGATTAGCTTATCCTTGGCTGGAGGTGGGCGGGGGGAGTGCTTCTGAGGAAGGTGCGCTTTGCTTTTCATTAGAAACGGAGGGCTTGAAATCCGTCAGATTTCTGTCTATCTGGCTGAAGTTCAGAGGCATGTGTAAAACTAACTTCTCATCACTGGCTTATTCCTAATTCCTAATTCCCAGCACCATCTTTTCCTTTGGAAATCTCCTTTCCTTTCTATTTTAGCCTGATACATAATTAATCATGAGCCTTGTGGAGTACATTGTGGGGAAAAGAAAGAATGGGTGATTGAGGACTGAAACGAAAGGTGTTTTCTGTGTAGGTTTTTATTCTCCTGGATCATTGTAGCTGTTTAACAGGGCTAAATTAGCGAGTGACTGCAGCCTGCTGCCTCAAAAACCCAAGCAGTTTTAGGTTGTGTTTCCTTTGTACAGAAGTGCCTGGCGTTCTTGGAATTCACTCAAAGCTACATAGTAAAGCTACCCACTGGATTGGGAAGGCCCTAGAAGTGTCTGTTAGCTGCAGCATTCTCTGGATGTAAATTGAGTTTTAACTCTCAGGCGATAAGGGTGATCCTCTCATGCATTTCGCATTTCTGAGCACACAGGTCAAGTGTTTGGGTTTTAAAGACAAACAGAAGCAAATGAGTTGTCAAACATGACTCAGCTACAGAGTGTGTCTGCATGCTGGGGGGGGGGGGCGGGGGGGGGACTTACCTGTCACCAGCTATTCTGCTGAGGAGGGGCTCCAGCCAGCCCGGGTGGCACTCGCAGTGGGAGTCCATGAAAACCAGCACGTCCCCCGTGGCCCTGGCGGCCCCCAACATCCGGGCCCCCACAGCACCCAGCCTCTTGTTGCTCCTCAGCAGCTTCACACCCTCCAGCCTGGCCACGTATTCGCTGAGCGCAGACTTGAGTTGTCCTGGAACAGAAGGGGGGTGGTCAGTGCGGACACAGAGGCCGCCTGGGGATGACCACCATGAGACTGTGGCCGCAGTTCTCTCTCGGGAGCGCTGCTGAGGACAAGGCGCCCGAGAGCCCAGAATTGAGGTATGTCAGTGGCTAAGATGAAAGTTGCTCCCTGTGTTTGGGATGGGTCCAGATTCTCTCCAGTAAAAACTAGGAGGGATGGCATCAGGAGCTGGCGTGGCGAGTACTGCTGACCTCTGAATGCAGCGGCGAGGTCAAGGCAGGCACTGTTGGGCCGTCACCCCGCTGTCCCCTCCCGGGCTTCCTGCCTGACTGCTCAGGCCTCTTCGCTGCTTGCTCTGGCATCCTTACCTAAAGCTCTCCTTCTGGGAGACTTGCCTAAAGCGGGGCCCAGCCTCAGCCTGGAAGCCCCTCCCCCTCCATGTCAACCCCACCCAAAGGATCCTGGGGGAGCTGGCAGCCACCTTGTTCGCTGAGGTCATCCACCAGGATGATCTCCTTCAGGAAGGCCCTGGGTGCCGTGTCCAGGACGCTGTGCACTGTCCTCAGGAGGGTGGACCAGGCCTCGTTGTGGAAACAGAGGATGACGCTGGCCGTGGGCAGGCTGTCCTCGGGCCGCTGCTGCAGACACCTGCAGAAGGAGAACCAGGAGCCATGGGGAAGAGAAGGCCCAAGGAACTCTGCCCATCCCGTCTCCACTCAGGGCCCTGGGCGGGGGCTGCTCCCCCCAGGGAGCTCTCCTCCCACTTAATTTCCAGACACAGAGAGCCTGTCTCAGCCCCCCAGAATCCATCCACTGCGTCCCCCCCTCAAACCCCAGAGCTTGTTTGCGCTTCTCAGCTTCTGCCTCTGGCACAGTTCGCATGGTAGGCTGGGCTGAGCTGTAAGGTGGGGTGAATGACCACGTGGCCCCCCTCACGGAACAGCTGTAAGACAAGTGTGGGATGAGTAGCCCAGACGATGCCTGTGCTAACTAAGTGTTACTGTTATTACCACAGAAGGGAGGAGGGACATTTGTGAGGGACAACAACGTGTCAGACCCTGAGCTGGTCTCTCCCACCTGGGACTCCATGTCAGCTCAATAGCCAGTTGTGGGCTGGGCTGCTGTCTCCCCACTTGGCAGATGAGGAAACTGATGCCCAGAGAGGAGGCCACACAGGCCACCCTGTCAGGAAGTGGCAGTGTTGGCTGGCTGGTCCTCAAAGCCTTCGGGTCCTGTCTGCTTCACATTTCTGGCTGCACACCAGGGTGCAGGGCATTACCTCTCCAGGTGAAAAAGGTGTCCTGTGTGTGCCGCCTGTTGGGTTTGTAGAGAGTTCTGAGCGAGTCCTCAGATGAATTATAGCAAGTCAGATATGTGGAGCTGTGTGGAGCTCACAGCTGTTCACAAGAGGCATTTCCAAAGTGTGTCCTTCTAGGTTGTAGTTATTAAAACCATGTCCCTTGTCAGAGGGGCACTTGTCATTGAACAGGGGTCTTCTCAAGGACCCCAGATCTCCAACACTGCAGTCATCTGTGATAGTGACCAAGGTGGCCTTGCCTGAGAAAACGCCTCAGAAAGTGTGTCCCCAGGGTCTCCCTGGTAGTGCAACAGGTTAAGTCTCAGCACTGTGAAGCTGTCTGCAGCCACTGCAGCACGAATTTGATCCCCAACCAGGGAACTGACACACATGGCCGTGGCAGACCTCTCCTGACCTGCATGTTGCTCCCCTCAGCAACAGTTCTGCTCCCCACTCTGTCTCTGCTGAATCCTCTCACCCCCCCACCTCTGGCCTACAGCCCACTTCTTATATGCATAAATAAATAAACCTTAAAAAAATTAAAAAGTGTGTCCCCCATGTGGCAGAAGCTGGACATCACTGTGCCTAGAGGAACCCCAACAAGGCACCACAGCCTCCGCGAAGGCTGTGGAGGTGGATGGAGGCCTGGTGCGTACCAGGGGCAGAAGGACAGCTGTTCTGCAGGGTATTTTCCCTTATCTTGGTATCACGGGATATCGATATTTTTTT